TTCCCCCCCCCCCCCCCCAAGACGCGAGGGGACCCAAGTGGGATCATGCGTTTGAATTTCTTGCGTGTCCAAGGTTGGATTGGGACCGACCTGAAAACGTGGTTACCTTGAACATTTGTCTCTGTCGCAATCCGATGATTACTAGAGAACTCTACAATGGCATCAGCTGTATATAACCCTAGTTCATTATCTGCACTGTCTTCGGTGTGATTCATAAAGATGCAAACTTTTGATGAACCCAGAAGAAAAGGATTACGAACCCATGATTCTTTGTCTGCGTTTGTTGAAAAAGATGAAAACTTTAATCGATTTTGCTGTCACTCACTCATGGAGAATTTGATCTGCTTTTGTCAGGTGAGCAATGGCGTTTAAAGTTGCTTCGATCCTTGAAGGGCGATGATGATGGAGACGTTACACTGCCCCCTCCTCTTAACCGCCAAGTGACAAAAGGTCGGTCCAAATTCTCTTTCCGTACTTTTCACATCGGTTTTTTCGGTTAATTCCTTCCATATGTTCTCACCGAGTAATTCCCGGTGTGCAGGTGTAAAAACGTTCATAATTTCTGTATTTGCTTAACCGGCTTCGCATACCGGCGGTTCCCGGGTACGACCCGGTTTGCCATTTCTCTGGTTTTGCCAACTTTTGGTGGTGAACTTCATTAGATTTCACGGCTTCGTAATTAGGTAATTCTTTCTTTTGACTTGGTCTTTTTCTCATAGATCTTTATGGTTTACCAATATGCTTAGCTTAGAAACGAACCAAAAATTTCAATGATTGTAGCTTTCTTATTACAGTTTTCTTTTCTTTTTTTTTTTGGTTTCATGCAGAATATGAACTGACCCAATCAGAAACTGCCAAGTGGAACAGATGGACGTTCTTTTATTCTTCATTCATTCTTTTGTTTAGAATTTAGTGTATATTTTGTTTTTCTTTCAAGTGTTCTCCCGAGACAATCATATTGTAATGCTTATTCTATGGTTTATATGTAACATCAATTATATTATATTTTTTTAAATTTCCAATTTTTTATAAAAAAAAAGCGAAAAAGATTTACCCATTCTTGCAATGATCATTGTACTGGAAAAAAAGTTAGGGCTTCTTGATAACCTCAATCCTGCACCCCCGTGTCTTTTAAACCCAAGAAATTAAATTAAATAAATAAAAAGTACAATCATTTCGATAATTATGATAGTATATGTCCTTATTACTCTGAAACCAATAAATATTATGCAATTCTCTATGTGATTGTTAAATTTGAGAAGAATTATAATTCAATTGATATTATTTTCCCTTTCTACCAATCTTACTAAGCGAAATATATTCATATGATCATTGTGACGCCACTTTTAGGACATAAAATCATATCCGATGAATGTTTATATATAATTATAAATGATTTAATTCGATTATATTTTAAGCATTCGACCCACACTCTCCACGTAACAATAATTTTTAATTGGAGGAGGAATGATTGAAAAGCGTCTGAAAGTGGAGATTATTTATTTATTTTGGTAAGAATATGAATATCATGCTTTGTCTTTTCCTGTTTCCTCATGCTCTGTCTCTTCTCCCTGCCTTTCTTGATCACAGCAACACTCGTTCTTTTTTTTTTCTCTTTTAATTAAAAAAAAAAACAAAAGAAAAAAACTCTTATGAATGGTGAAGGCCATGATTAATTGCACAGACAATGAACTCATATTGTATATTCCTTTCTGTATTCTATAAACGTTACATTCGTAGAAAAAAAAATACCCTTTTTTTTATTATGGAATGGAAAGCATTTAACAATTGAATAGAAAAAGAGCATGTTGTTAATGATCTCTTTATAATGTTGAATTTTATCCAAACATCTAGTTATGCTTAAATACATTGTGAAGAATTTTAAAATTTGAGACAATTAATATGATATAAACATGTATTAAAGTGGAAATTAAATTTAAAATGAATGCATAAAAACACATGGGTTTGTTTGTTAGGCCATTTCCTTTTTTGGTGGAAAAGAAAGAGAAAGCAACTTCACAAATATGAAAACCACATCTAAAAATAATTTCATGTATAATTTGTCTCCTTCACTCCAACACTAAATTCATACAATTTTTTTCCTTTTGGGTTTTTTAATTATTTGAAAGAACAAAAAAAATGGCCTTTAACTTTGAAACATGCTTTATTGCATGCATGCAACCAAATGATTCCTTCAAGTCAGATATTCCTTGTGTGTTTCCCGCTTTGCTAGATCCCATTTCAATTGCCAATGTACGTATGTATATATGTACGTATCATTTATAAATATATATACACACGTATGTATGTATTTGTGTCTTGTATACTAGTACTAGGGGTTTTCAATGCCATATAGCCACAATTATTTTTTTCACCAAACAATGATTAAAATATATGTATACATACATTGAATTTTTACGCTACATTTTCAAGATAATATCGGTCGTTTGTTTTAATGCATGGACCCAATTATGGTAGTTATTTATTTATGTGTTGGTCAATTCTTAGAGTTTAAGTTTCATCAATTTAGGAATGATGGTCGGGATCTACACAACCATAACTCTTCAATCTTATATATATATATATATATATACACACACACACATACATGCTCATCTACATATATGTATACATATACACATTTAATCATATATTGCGTTGGCGTTTTCATTAAATTAGAAATATTTCCAAACCCAAGGAAAAATGCAGTCCATTATTATGTGGGCCTATTTTGGGTCCAATTGGGCTTCCTCTTGGCCCATCACTGGAAAATGTCGGGGAAGAAGATATTCCGGTTCGGTTTTAATAACCAAACCGGATTCAGATATTTTTATAATAACCAATCGGAAACGGAAGTGGTTCGGTTAACCGGTTGATTTATTCCAATTTCCACCGGCTCTCTGTCTGAGACAGAGGTATGCAATGCAAGTGGGGAAAATCACCCAAATAACCCACTTGGGTCGCATGTATTTCAGTGTACACCACTGAGAAAAAAACAAAATTTTTTTTTTTCAATTTTAACCCACTTTTCGGTTGAAAAAGTCCGAAATACCCTTTTCGTTTTATTTTTTACGACCTTATTACGACTAACATATAACTGATATACAACTAAGACAGATGATTTTTTTGCCATCTTTTTTAGAATCAATTGTAACTATATTTAGATTTAATTACGTAGTCGTAATAACGAAGTTGTTTTCGAACGGATAAATATCATAATTTCGTCTTTTTACGGGAAAAAAAATGTGTTATGTTTTCGGTGGTGTACAGGTGAAATAGATGCGATCCAACTAGGTTATTTGGGTAAAAAACCCAATGAGTGGCACACTTTTATAGTACAGCAGAACAAGGAGGGGATATTTTGGAATTTTCCTCTAACTTTAGTTTTCCACTTCACTGATAGATACTCACTGGGGTTTTAACCCTAATAACTCACTTGTGTCGCAGCAATTTCAGGGTACACCACCCAGAAAAAAAAAAAAAAATTTCAATTTTAACCCACTTTTCGATTGAAAAAGTCCAAAATACCCTTTTCGTTTTATTTTTTGCGACCTTTTTGCGACTAACATATAACTGATATACAATTAAAATAGGACGGATAATTTTTTTTGCCACTTTTTTGTAACTATATTTAGAATTAATTACGAAATCGTAATAACGAAGTTGTTTTCGAACGGATAAATATCGTGATTTATTAAGGGTAATTTTGTCTTTTTTCGGAGAAAAAAATGTGTTATGTTTTTTGTGGTGTACCGGTGAAATAGATGCGAACCAAGTGGGTCATTTGAGTGATTTTACCATACTCACTCGCTCAGGTTGGTTAAAATTCTCTGCGAATTCGAAGGGTTTTTTGTTTCTGGGTTTGCTTCCGCTCTCCATCGTCGATCGAAGGGGTCCATCCACGATTTCCATATCCATGTGAGTTGTTTCCGAGTGATCGAAGAGTTTCGTTCCCATTTGCATTGTGTATGTTTCGTATGTTTGTGTGCGCAGAGAAGTACATAACGTTTATGTATGTATGTATGTATGTATGTGTCATTTGATGCTCTCGTCGTTTTTCCGTTGATCTCTCGATGGGGCTTCGTTTTTGTTTGATTGTTTTTGTTTTTTGAGGGTGCAAAATTCGGATGAAGGTTTCATTTCACAATGTGGGTCGTTTCCGCAACCCCTTCTGAGTGAGATTGTGCATCTGAATTCTGTGTTTGTTGTTTTTTCTCTCTTGGGTCTGGGAAGAAGGGTTTAAGGTGTGGAATTTTGGGAATTTTTTTTAAAATTTCAGTTTGAAGATCTTCTGATGTTAGGGTTCTGGGTTTTTTATGCTTGGATAGTGGCGATTGCTTAATACTGGCTAGATTCTCGCGATTCAGAGGCATATCCAAGTGGGGTTAGAATTCATGCATCAGATTTGGTGATTACTTTCAGGAGAAAGATTAGAAGTCCTTGGCGTTTCCTGCAACACTGTACTGTGATGGAGTAATTTGGGTATGTGGTTGGTCGTTGATTTTGGATGTTGTTATGGTCGAGCTTCTGTGTTTGATCAGTGTTTATGATTTGTTATGATTGATTTTAGTTTGTAATGTTTGTTGACGAAGTCATGGAACTGATTCTCTTGTTTTGATTGGAATCAAACTGCTATGGTGTTCAGTTTCTTGTATACGTTCAGTGTGGTTGAATTTTGGTTTTGCGTTTCGCCAATTATGTGAAAAGGGATAAACTTTGTGTCTGTTCTTGAATATGATTTGTTGTTCTGGTTTCTCCTCAGCAATGAGTACGGTTGGGGACAGGTCAGATGACGAATATTCTGTCATTGGAGACAAGGGGGAAATCGGGTTTATAGATTATCAGAATGATGTATCTGCTGGTAATTACAATCTTTCAGATGAGGGTCCAGTTGTTGTTTCTGTTCCTTTCGCATTCAGGGACGGGAAGCCTCAATCTGTTACCGTTGGAGAGACTTCCTGTGATTCTTTCACTGTCAAGAATACTATGTCTGATCCCGTGGACTTATGGACCAAAATTTATGCCTCAAACCCTGAAGATTCTTTCACACTTTCAATCCTGAAACCGCCATCGAAAACTGCAGACCCAAAAGACATCCAGGGTTTCCTCGAATCTTTTACCCTCGAAGATAGGATGCTCGAGCCAGGTGACACTTTGACTATTTGGGTCTCTTGCAAACCTAAGGAAATTGGTTTGCACACCACGGTCATTAATGTTGACTGGGGAGATGACAGAGTGGAACGGGTTGTTTTTCTTTTGGCGGAGGACAAGATATCGAGCTCTCTTACTTCTCGGAGGCCTTACGCAAGAAACAAAAGGGTTCCAAGGAAAGATTTTGCTGTGGATGAATATGTACATGGATCCCGCCCTATGAAGGTGACGGATCGTAGGTTCAAAAATAGACTTCCAAGATATGACATTCCGGATGATATTAGAGATCTGATTGAGAAGAAGGAAGTCCCAGATGATATAAATGAGGGTCTTACAAGAGAGAACTATGCAAACTATTTCAAGACATTGTTGATCATGGAAGAAATTCAGCTCGAGGTATTTTTTCTGTTACAGATCTTTTAGTTATAGCTTATGTCCGCGATATGGTTATCCTTTTCCTTGGAATTACGTCTCGTGATTTCTCTTTGTTTAGGAAGACATGAGGGCCTATGATATGGAAAATGTCTCGATGAAGAGAAGGGGGCTCTATTTGTCTCTCGAAGTCCCGGGCCTTGCTGAGAGAAGACCTTCACTTGTTCACGGAGATTTTATCTTCGTGAGACATGCCTTTGACGATGGAACTGACAAAACTTACCAGGTCGTCTTTCTAATCACCTTTTCCCATTGTTATCTGTGATGTTAAGAATTCTCCTCCTTGTCTTCTTGTAAAAAAAGTGACAGCAAATTCTTGCAGGGCTTCATACACCGTGTTGAGGCTGACGAGGTGCATTTGAAGTTTGCCCCCGAGTTCCACCACTTCCACACAGCTGGGAGTCTCTTCAATGTAAGATTTACCTATAATCGCCTCTCCACTAGGAGGTTGTATCAGGCGGTTGATGCCACAAGGCAGTTGGATACCGATTTCCTTTTCCCATCCTTATATTCTGGAAGGAGGATGATAATGGGCAATTCCTTTGTGCCTATATCCTCTGCCGTGAACGATGAGCAGATATTTTCAATTGAAATGATTCTTGGCTGCAAAGGAGCACCGCCATATGTGATACATGGGCCTCCTGGTACTGGGAAAACGATGACATTAGTCGAGGCAATAGTTCAGATCTATACAACTCGGCCAAATGCCCGGATTCTTGTTTGTGCTCCTTCCAACAGTGCAGCTGATCACATTCTGGAGAAGCTCCTGAGTTTGAAGGGGATTCGTATAAAGCAGAACGAGATGTTTAGGCTGAATGCTGCTACTCGTGCATACGAAGATATCAAGCCTGAACATATCCGGTTTTGCTTCTTTGACGAGTTAGTATTCAAGTGTCCTCCTCAAAGGGCTTTGACTCGTTATAAGCTCATCATATCGACGTATATGAGTGCATCCCTTCTCTATGCCGAAGGCGTAAACCGTGGCCACTTCACTCATATTTTCTTGGACGAGGCTGGTCAAGCATCAGAGCCAGAGAGCATGATTCCTATATCGAATCTCTGCTTGGCAGAAACCGTGGTCGTGCTTGCTGGAGATCCAATGCAGTTGGGTCCAGTGATATACTCGAAAGAAGCAGAGTCTTACGGCTTGGGGAAATCATACTTGGAGAGATTGTTCGAGTGCGACTATTACCGCGAAGGGGATGAGAGCTATGTGACAAAGCTTGTCAGGAACTACAGGTGCCACCCGGAGATTCTCGTTCTGCCATCGAATCTGTTCTATGAAGGTGAACTGATTGCCTCTAAAGAAGACGCCGGCTCTCTTCTCACCTCGTTGAACTTCCTGCCCAACAAAGAATTCCCGGTCATCTTCTATGGGATCCAGGGATGTGATGAGAGAGAAGGCAACAATCCGTCGTGGTTTAACCGGATAGAGATAAGCAAAGTTATAGAGACGATCAAGAGGCTGACGGCGAATGATTGCGTGCAAGAGGAGGATATCGGTGTTATAACACCGTATAGGCAGCAAGTATCGAAGATCAAGGAAGTTCTCGAGAGATTAGAGATGAATGATGTCAAGGTGGGGAGTGTGGAGCAGTACCAAGGGCAAGAGAAACAAGTGATCATCATCTCGACCGTTAGATCAACGATCAAGCACAACGAGTTCGACAGAGCGTATTGCCTCGGCTTCCTGAGCAATCCCAGAAGGTTTAACGTCGCAATCACCCGTGCAATCTCTCTTCTCGTCATAATCGGGAACCCCCACATCATATGCAAGGTATCTGCTTCTTCTTCTTCTTCTGGAGTATCCCATTACTATTTTCTGGACAGAACAGTTGCAGTATCTGAATCAAGCCGCAACTAAAAAAACTAAATGTTTTGGATGAATATGAACAGGACACATACTGGACCAAGCTTCTTTGGCGATGTGTCGATAACGATTCCTACCAAGGATGTGGTCTGCCGGAGCGAAACGACTCGCTGGACGAACCCTTCGATCAAGGAGGCATGTAGCAAGGTGATGAAGAAGGCGAGTGGAACACCGGAGGAGGGGTGGAAGCCGGATGGAACGGGGAAGGCCAGTTCGAAGTGGGAGCTGATAATGCGAACAAGAATGAAGACGAATGGTCCGATGGATGGAAGTGAGGATGTCGGAGAAGACTGGTCCCAGTTTCGTTTTCCGTGGTTTTGTCTGACTGGGGGGCGAACCTTTGCGGTGTCTGAAACTGAAAGTTCGAGCATTTCTGGTCTAATTAATTACACACATATATATATAAGAGATGACTTCGGTGTTTGGTAAATTCTTCATTCGCCCTCCAACTACGGTTTTGGGAACATTGTCGAATTTAATTATTTTATATTTCCTATCGTGAAGCGCCTGTGGCCTAATGGATAAGGCGTCTGACTTCTAATCAGACGATTGTGGGTTCGAGTCCCACCAGGCGTGTTTATTTTCCTTTTTTTATTTCTTTATTTTATCTCTTGATAAATTGATGATAGTCGTGTTGTATTATACTGCCAAAAAAAAAAAAATACACATAAGCTATAAACATATACATGCATATATATATATATTGTATTTTGTACCGTACAATATATATATAATAAATTAAAGAAGATTTAGTAGATATCCGGACGGAACGGGAGTGTTCCCTTTTAACGTTATTAAATGGCGACCCACAGCCTCCTCCTCTCTATCCCTATAATCTCACCCCCTCAAAAGACGTTTTTGCCCTCCACCCACTGTACACATCTCCTTCTCGTCGCCCGATCCCTCCGGTTACCTCGCCGGAGAATTCGCCTGAAACCCCCGGATAACGATATGTCAATCGCAGTTTCCATGTCGGAGCTCCCTCCCCATCGGGATCCAGAGGATAGTCCGCTTTTAGATTCCAGAATTAGTAGGTGTCCTCCTTATCGTGCTATTCCCTGAATCTGTGGTTTTGAAGAAAATTTTCTTTTTGTGATTATAAATCGATGGTTTGTTTTATATATTCGAATCATGTGACTAGAAGTTGTCATTTTTCTTGTCAAAGAAGACAAAAGTATGTTAATTGATGATCATATCCATTGATTTTCCGGTATTTGTCATGAAGTTTTTTCCCTTTTAGATTTGTGACCTGGGATTTCCTTCTGATTAGCATTGTTGGTGAACTTCCTAGTGCAGTGTTTATGCAAATTATATTGATTCAGAACTTGGGTTCTCTCGTTAAAAAAACATTTATCAGCTTCTGAATTATGAATTGGATATTTCTCCTCCTAATGTAAGCTTTGTATAAAAGTAGGTGTTGGAGAAGGAGAAATGTTGACAACAGATGTTGAAGAAGAGAAAGACATTTCTGTTAGAAAGCAACCTCGTAAAAGCAGATATCTCAGCAGCAGAATGAAAATTTTCGGGGTTGAACTGTCGCCCGATAACGTTGCTGTGGCAATGGTGTATTTTGTTCAAGGTGTTTTAGGCCTTTCGAGGCTCGCTGTTAGCTTTTATCTAAAGGATGATTTGCATCTTGATCCTGCAGAGGTATGTCCTTGTAACGATTTAGGTTGTCTCCAATTTGGATCATGTTTGTGTCCATAGAGGGTGTGTTATTGGTTCGTATGATTTGTTATATAAGTTGAGTTCCAATAATAACTAAGGTGAATGATCAGAAGATTTTTGTAGTTTATTTTATCGGGCTGACAAAATATACGCGTTGACTAGACAGCTGTGATATCGGGTTTCTCTTCGTTACCATGGCTTGTTAAGCCTCTCTATGGGTTTATCAGGTATGACTATGACTCCTCACCATTCATGTACTGGTCAACTTTTATGATGTTATGTTGAAGGACTTTCATCGCCTTTGGGGGTTTGTAAACAAATTGTTCCATTTCACAGTGACTCATTGCCGCTATTTGGCTACCGAAGGAGGTCATATTTAGTTCTGTCGGGGCTTCTTGGTGCATTTTCGTGGAGTTTGATGGCTGGACTCGTTGACAGCAAATATAGTGCTGCATTTTGTATACTTCTCGGTTCCCTTTCTGTCGCCTTTTCTGATGTTGTAAGTTCCTCGGATGACTTTTCACCTTGCATATGTTTCAGCAATGCAAGGATCATCTACCCATAAAATGGAAGATCTTTTTATGAGAAGTGCACTTATTTTGGAAGCCACGGGATAATTTAGAACTATTTTGTCACTTAGGAAGCTATCTGATGATTCTTGTTCTTCCATATAATGATAGATATTCGGAGAATTTGGATTTGATTTTGGCTGGACATGTTCTTATGATTTGTAGAGTAGTTTTCTCCAACCCATAACGGTTTGAAGGGCTTGGAATTCATTGCATGAAAAACAATATAGAGTTAGACCCTTCAGCATTTATAGGTAAACTGATTATAACAGGAGACACAAATATTGGCTCTAAATGGTTGTAGGTTGTAGATTCGATGGTTGTAGAACGGGCTCGTGGTGAGTCACAAAGCCTGTCAGGATCTCTGCAATCTTTATGCTGGGGATCCTCTGCTTTCGGTGGAATTGTGAGCTCCTACTTTAGTGGCTCCCTGGTTGATTCATATGGTGTAAGGTACACATATATATACTTACACGATATGCCCATGCAAGTATAGCTTCTTTTGGCACATCATAGCATATACGACTAACTTATGTGGCATTCTAAAAGCTTTTACACCACAGGTTTGTATTTGGAGTGACGGCCTTGCTACCTCTGATAACTTCAGCAGTCGCTGTTCTCGTGAATGAACAGCGTGTGGCTGTGGCCCGTCCAGTAACAGGTCAGAACAAAACCTGGCTGATGAGTCCTCACTTCCTCCAGGACTCGAAGCAGCACATCATTCAGCTCTGGGGTACCATTAAACAACCAAATGTTTTCCTTCCGACCCTTTTTATTTTCTTGTGGCAAGCCACACCACATTCAGATTCTGCAATGTTTTACTTCACGTATGTCCACTCATTGGTTGTGGTTATCGCTATCTTTTTTTCATATCATTGAGGCTGCTGCTTTCGATTCTTGGCTAATATCTGTCTGAAAATTGTCAGGACAAACAAACTCGGCTTTACTCCCGAGTTTCTTGGCCGTGTTAAACTTGTGACATCAATTGCCTCCTTGCTTGGAGTAGGGCTGTACAATGGATTCCTCAAGACTGTGCCATTGAGAAAGATTTTTCTTGTCACAACCATCTTCGGCACAGGTCTTGGGATGACTCAGGTTGGTAAAGAACTTCATCATCGTTCTCTATCGTACAACAGAGTAACTCCCATTCTGGTCTTTATGGTGCAAGCAGGTTTTCCTTGTCACGGGTTTTAACCGGCAATTGGGGATAAGCGACGAGTGGTTTGCAATCGGTGACTCTTTAATTCTGACAGTTCTTGGCCAGGTCTATCCCTCCTCCATTCCTGCCTTTAAGTTCTTTCCTGATAGCATTAGTTTTGTCAGATTCAGTTTCTGATACATGAAAACATAAATTAGCATTATATCCCTCGTAAAGACATCCACAACCTATGACAGAACCCCTATTGGCATATTTATCGAACTGTGCTACAGGCTTCGTTCATGCCGGTGCTTGTATTAGCGGCAAGATTATGTCCGGAAGGAATGGAAGCGACGCTATTTGCGACGCTAATGTCAATCTCGAACGGAGGAAGTGTTCTTGGAGGTCTTGTCGGAGCAGGACTGACCCAAGTCTTCGGCGTAACCAGAGACAGTTTCGACAACTTAGCCACTCTCATAATTCTCTGCAACCTCAGTTCGTTGTTGCCTCTTCCGCTTCTCGGCCTCCTGCCACGAGATTCTCCAGACAGTGGTTCCATGGATGATCCAGAGATCGAGATGAAGTCTAACTAAGGATGATGACTACTGTTCCACTTCCATGTTTGTAACTCTGTTACTGCCCAAGAACCAAACTTCAGCTGAGATTTTTTCTTTTCTTAAAAGAAAATTGCAAGTTTTGAGTGGTAATAAAGGCAAGAGTTATATTTATATCACTTTAATTCGTATCTATAGATGCGATTCACGAACCATGATGTAGATTAATTTAAATATATATATATATATATATATATATATATATATATATATATATTAGGTGAAGCCGTATCTGATGGGCCGGGTCATACTGACTTTATTGGGCTAACTGGGCTTTATATGATCAAACCAGGCCCGGTTCAGACAATCCAAGTGGCATTTTGGTAATTATGGCGAAACATAACTGCCAGATCCAGAGGACCGTTGGGCATTTCAAATTTCAAAGGGAGAGAGGAAAAACCAAAGCTTTCCTATATAAAAAAATCCTAACGATCAGATAGAGGCCATGAAAGGAAAGTCCACACCGTCGGAGAAATCGATGACGACGTCGACGACAACATATTCGGTGGAAGAATCTGAGTCCAGAGACAGCAACTGTTACTTCCCAGGTTGCAGGAAAGATGCGAACTGCAGCTGCGAGATTTGTCTCGACAGCATCAACGCCACGCTCGATCTCATGCCTCTCAGCGTCCAGAAAAGCTCCCTCACGAGGCTCTCTTGCGCATCGCGCTGCAAATCTACTGTCAAAACCACTCCCATCTCGTTCGATCCCACGGTGGTCACCACGCCCACCTCGGTTTCTCGCCCAATCTCGAGAGTGTCTCCCCCGAAGATGAAGAAGAAGCAGGAGGCAAAATCAGAGATTCGCGAGGAGAAAGAACCGATGAAGAAGACGAAAATCAAGGGTACATCTGGGATTTGTGTTGTTCTGAGGATGGTCATGGTATTGGGTTTGGTTTTTAGTTTGGAAGTAGGGTTTTGCTGGGTGATTAAAGGGGTTTTCAAACCGGAATTCACGGAGGCGATTGTAAAGAATGCGGTTCATAGATCTGGGGATGTTCAGGATCTGGATTTGAAGTTGAAAGTCTTGGAAGAAGAATTCAAGAGAGCTGTTAAGAATAGAAAGCTGTCGAGCTGCAGAGACTCGGATTCCAAATGGAAAATCAATCAGGTTTCACTGTCTTAAATTGGAAATCAGATTCACATTGTTTCGTTTTCCAATCCAAAGTTTCCATTTTTAGCCAGCTGATTCTAGATTATGTTTCCAGGGTGGTCTGACATTGAGCTCAAAGTGCATCCTGTACAAATCCACAACTGAAGAGGTGAGCATTTGGGGATGGCCTTTGCAGACAGCTAAAACACTCAGCCTCGGGTTTTCATCGAGTTCGTTTACAATCTTATCAGGCCGAGTGACTGAGGTAACTCATTCTCTGATGTTCATCGGTATTTATTGATCATAACAAATAACCGATACCGTTTCTGTAAACAGAGTTTATCTCAAAATGTCATGATAATGCTTTGCTTTGGCTGCTGATAGCTATATAACATAGACATTTTGGATTCTCAAAGGAAATGCACCCAAAAGATGGTCGTTTTTCTTAATGGGTGATTTTGGTTTTGGAGAATCATGATGGATGTAGTTGCATTTCAGATCCTAGCTAAGTTTGAGAGAATTTTCACTTGAGTAAACACTTTTAATTCTCTCTCTTGGTGGTGGCTGTAATTGAAGTGGAATGACGGAAAATTTGGCTATTCGATAAGGGAGGCCAACGCTTCATGGCAAAGAACCAAATGGAGCACTTGTGTTCTGCAACTAGATCCCAACTCGTGGGTTCTCGAGTACAGCCGGAGTTCAGTCTTGGACAGCTCCAGTCTGATGTCACTGACACTCGATCTCCTCCGACACATGATGTTCCAAGCGGCCAGGAACATAAACCGAGAGCTCGTCTGGTTGGCTTCCATTTGGGAAAACATGTACAGCTACGCATCATCAAAGCCAAATCCAATGACACCCACATAGACAATAGTAAAAACTTGGGAGGGAATGTATTTGACAAGTTGGATACTCATAACTTGTGAGGAAAGACAACTTTTTTTCCCTTCTCGTCTCGTTTTTAGGACTAATTAGGAACTATTAGCATCTTTTAGTAGGATAGGCTTGGAACTGAACTCTGTTTCCCGAGTCATTTTGTTCTTACAATATGTGATAAAGATCTGGCCTTTCTGTCAATTTGAGTGTCTTGATCAGAATTGTAACAAGTCAGGCAACAACATCTGTTCAAAACAAAAATTTGACTGGAAGAATTCAGAATCTATACAAGGGAAACATGAATAGAACAGTTGCCAGTTGCCAAAACTGTGGAGCTGGGAGGAAGAAGAGGTCATGGCAAAAAGAACAAATCAGACGTTGTCCCAATCCATGAACAAGAAAGACAGCCCTTTCCTGCGAGCTTAGAGAGAGGTAAGAATCTCTTCCCAACTCTTTTCAAAATTTGTAGATTTAGCCATCGACTCGAAGATGGAAGTATTCCTCTAGAATTCCCCTCGGCGCCCTACCGAATCCCTTTCCTATTTCTTCCATTTCTCGAAGTTTCGAGACTTCCTTCTTAATCTGATCCAATCTTGTCAGGATGGTAGTGATTAGGTCATTTGCATCAGTGTCTGATAATCGTCGGGAGAGATCAGACTTCTCTTTCTCGAGCAGCACGTACAGATCGTTGAGATATTCCTTCTGAGCACATAGTTTTTCTTCGGCAATTTGGTACTCAGTTTCCTGAGCCTTCCTCAGAGCTCGTAGGACCTGACAAATTTCTTCCTCAAGTCTCTGCATTTCAGCCTGATGGTTGAATGGTATTGGTCCAATTGGCTCTGCCTCTTGCAAACTGTGGACAGTCTCGTTGTCTTTAGCATCTCCATTGTCAGAGATTTCTGCAATTAGAGAATGGAAAATATGGAAAAAAGAGGAGAAAACATTTCAACACACAGTGACGATCGCCTGAAAACGTATGCATAAGAGAGCGAAGTATTACCCGGCCAGACAGTTAAGGCATCCGCATTCCCGATATCTTCATTTTTTCTGCATTTGAGCTGGATCAGATACACCAAGAGTTCACAAACTCAGCTTTACCAAATCAAGAATATAAAACTTTTTCCGATATATAATTTTTATTTCCTTCATAGAACCAACCGAGCCTGTCATACCTTGACGACAGCTGATTCAATACAGATCAACAACTCTTTTGCCTTGGCTTTCTTCGAGCCCCGAAGCATACAGATGCCCAGGTTTAGGATCTTCTCGACATCGGCCTGGGATTTGACCATCCCACATATCTCTTTGAACCTGTAAACATGTGGAATTAGGTCCTTTTTCGCGTCACATCGCCTGCAGTAGTATTCAGCATCCAACCCTATGCTGCCTCCAACGGTTCCAGCCATGTAGGCTCGAAGAGCACAGTTTATATGAGCCACGTGTCCGCATATATAACCTTCATGAACCACAGCCTCGCATTTGATGTAGTTATACCCTCCATGCTCTAAGCTCACGGGTATACAGCAAAGGATACAGCAGCAATCGGTGCAGAAATTAGGTTCGCTACAACAAATGTCACACTGCATTGCGGGTAAAGATGGGTTTTCCCCGTTAAGCATCAGACTTTTGCACTTATTATTACCAGCCTTGCAAACCACATGAATAGACTCGTCATCGTGCATTGGATCTTCATCTGAGACTTCGAATATTAGAGGTGGAGGTACAGATGATCGAGTGCCCCTGAAAGTTTTGCCTGTCAAACACAGACAGTTCAGCTTAAACTCGAATAAGATGAAAAATATAACAACACGGTATTTATACAAAACGATAGAACGATCTACTAGCAGTGGTACTATGAGACTGGATCAATGAACCTGACCATGCGTGTCTTTGCAAGGAATTTTCCAGCTGAACAAAGAGAAAAACTTTTCAACATCCACTTCAGGAAAGACTGCACGGATATATCGTTCAACTGCAAGCTTGCTGGAAAATGCACCACCTTTCCGGGGAGCACTATCACCACCGGAAGGTAGATGCTTGGGAGGATACAGGTACCTATCATTAAAGAAACCACTGGTCGTAACTCTCACCCCTACTTTCCAACGCCATATATCTCCGGGACCCGGCCAATTTTCAGGGGCATATGGCAGACCCTCACCCGACTCACATGGTTTAACAGCAGGTAGTTTAAGGCCACGCCTTACACCGCTGCTGTGTTGATCTGGGCTGTCCATGTATATGCCAACTCGATGCTCGATTTTAAGAACTGAAACTGATATCTGATTCCATCAGATGTCGAACTATCACACAGAATGTAACACAAACAGGACTACATGCTCATTGGCACGAGGATGAACACATCGGATGTGTAAGAGAAGGGTTGAACCACTCTCTTTACGGTATTCAACATCTACTTAAGGCATGGCGACAATCTTGAAAATTTATGTTCAGGATCATACTACAAACAATGAAACAAAAGACATCTATGTTCAGACATAGATGGGTAAAGGTATACGTTTTCGTTTCAAGACGCAGATTCTGAGGTTCCCTAAGAGACCTCAAAATCTAATTTTTACACGTTCTACACCAAAAACAGATCCATGATCGAAACTTCAGCATCCAAATAAAATTTCTGAAAAAGATGTGAATCAATACAGACGGAGAACAGAGACCCCCAAGAATTACGTATCACCCAAACGATATCGTTTCGTCCCTGACATCAAGAACAAGGAACAAGAAGAAAAGACGTACCAGTTCCTGTAGCAATCGAATTCGTAGCGAATCAGATTTTAAAAAAAAATCTTTTGGATCGACGGCGATCAAATCTCCGCGAACTCAGCTAGGGCTTGTTCAATCTTTCGTCCCCATGAAACGTTACGCTTGAAGAAAGCCGAATTTGCGATCAAAGGGTCATTGCCAAAGGCTGAGGCCGATACCCTCGAAACAGCGACGACTACGGCGGTGGCGGCGGCGGCGGCGGCGGCGATGGCACACAAATACTGGCTGTGTTTCCGAGAAGGAAGCGTGAATATAGGGTTTTAGAAGGAAGCGAGGCTGCAAACCCGGCGCATCTCAAACGGGCTGCCCGTCTCGCCATTCAGCCTCCCCCCACCCCGCACAGGTCACAGCCCAATCATTTTTTAAACAGGCTTAAACATAGTCACTATGATTCGCCTAGTTCGCGGGTTGAACGGTTGGCCCGTGGACTTGGAAAAAGTTCGACACCTCTCGTAAAAATCGGTTCCATTCATTTGCAAACTGTATGGTGAAATTACATGAATTCTATTTCACACCTAACACGATCGACAACCAAATCTTTATCTATAGTTGTCTTGCATTTACCTTCTAGTTTCCAAGTTTGTTGTTCCGTCTTTGTCCTTTGTTAGTTATCTCACTATTAAAAAATCGTCGAATTCCAACGGATTTATCCGTTGAAAATTTTCCAACGGATTTTCAACGATTTTCAACGGCGATTTCCGTTAAAATTCCGTTGAAATTTCCAACGGATATCCGTTGGAAATGCCAGTTAAAAATTTTTAATGGAATTTTCAACGTATTCACATAACAAATATATTATATATATATATGAATTTGAATATGTATATATGTAAATATATATATATATATAAATATATAAATATATATACAATCAGATCTGATTGTTTAGGTTTCTCAAAAATTTTCAAGGATCCGACCTTGGGATTGTGTTTTATGGATATCGACCTTTCCTATATTTTGCGATTGTTGTGGATGATTAGGACGGACTAGTTGATAAGTTGTTGTTAATAACGATTACGGTTGGTTATAATTATAAATGAATAGTTAAATATAGTTGCTAATGCGGTTTATGTAACAAATATATGATTTTAATAAAATTGTTTAAATAGTTGTACTTAATTTTTACTATCATTTGATAAAAAAAAATTATTTTACTAAACTTTTGAAATAATTAATATAAATTTTATATATTTAATTTATTTTTAAGTAAAAATTAATTTTATTGTTAAAAAATTATTTTAAAAGGGTATTTTTGGTATTTTTAATCAAACATCACCAAACGTTACTAAAATGCGGGTGTGAAGTTGCGATTAAAAATTTTGTATTTTGTTGTGGTTATAAATGGTTGTGATTTAAACGATCATTTTTTCAATCGATCACAATCGTCAAAAATCACAAACAGAGCGTAGAGCGTTTACAGATGATAGTAATGTATCCACTCTACCCTTAAATATACTTGTCAAATCATATGTGTTCATATGTATGAGTAGAGGATTTTTATTAGGTTTCAAGGTAAAAGAGGCGGCACAATGAAGGTGAAAAGTTCAACCGGTGACCCAGGTCACAAAGCGTTTATGATCTGGTCCCGAGTTAAAAACTCAAGTTTGAGGAGAGAATATACTATTTTCAAATGAAATGGCTAACTTCCAATCTCGGATGTTAGTTTGGGTTTTGGTTTAAAAAATTGGATTACCCAAAACAAAACATAAAATGAAAGTGAGAAGAATCCTCAACCAATTGGATCAATGTGTATATCCAACAGATTCCTACATATTGTCGTGTCCAAATTACTCTTGAAGAACAAAATTAACCTCGAGAGAAATCTAGGGTTGTTGACGTAGACCCTCCACCATATCACTCTCTCACGTCCATGCATGTGCTCACTCCATGATGATGTCTCCATGTCCCCACAATAGCAAGATTGAGAGAGAGAGAGACCCAACATGCACTCCACAATGAAGAGATTTTGTAAGGAAGTGGCAATTCAAGAGACAAAACACGATACGATGATGAAGCAAACACAAGAAACTGCCTCAAATTAACCACCCAAGAAAATGACATCCTCTCTTCTCTCTCACCCATTTTCCTATGCCACCATCACTCTCTTCTCACAAAAAAAAAAAACTTTTACATATATATATATATATAACTATATACTTGTTGGTACATTATAACATGATCTCGAGTCCCTTTGTTTGTTGGGACTAACTATATTCAAATTGCAAATTAAGGTTAATGTAATAAAACTACACCATCGACATAGAGACTGTAGTTATATCTACACACTATAAGACGTGATTCAAAAGATAGACCGGTTTGGAAATTATCATAATCCCTTCCAAAATATCCTCAAATTAATCACTATATAAACATCACACATCACACAAATCAACTGTTTACTAATTCATAACTTTAACATAAGCCGGTTAATTACATGTGTATATATATGTATAAGTTTGCCTGTCTGTGTATATATGCATTACAAATTAACCCACCTAATTTTATCCACTTCCTCTAACCACCCTCTCTCTCTCTCTCTCTCTCTCTCTCTCTCTCTCTCTCTAAAATGCCAAGAATCTTGTGGAAAAGCTTCCACCTTTGTTTCCGAACAAACCTCACCAAGTGCTCATCTCCGCCGTGTCTCCCCTCCTCCTCCGCCGCAGATGATCCCGGCGACCTAAACCGCCGCTGCATCCTCCTCCACCACCACCACTCTTCCGCCGTCTCCGCCGCCGCCTACTCCTCCACCTCACTCTCCGCCACCGCCGCCGGAACATCCTCTTACTCCTCCTACGATTCCGACTACAATTACGACATTGCCACTGACTCTCCCCCTCCTGACTTCGCCGCCGTTTTCGCCTCCCGCCGCTTCTTCTTCTCCTCCCCTGGCCCCTCCAAAGCCATCACCGACTCTCCCGGAGATCTCTCCCTTATTTACGATAATGCCACGACCACCATTACCACGGCCAAGAATAATGAGAATGAGAGTTACGAGACTGCCACTGCCTTGACTGCCACTACAACTGCTTCGTCAGTGCCCCGTCTACTGAGCGGAGGAGCTGCCGTAATGCAGCACGTACACTCGCCGGATCCGTACAGAGATTTCCGGCGATCGATGCAGGAGATGATCGACGCCATGGACGGGAGAGATGATGCTGACGTGGCGATGGAGAGGTACGAGCTCTTGCACGAGCTGCTACAGAGCTACCTCTCCCTGAACCAGAGGGATACCCACGAGTTCATCATCCAGGCCTTCTCCGACATTCTCGTCTCGCTCTTGTCGGAAGGCCGCCGGATAGGCTGACGTGCCATTACCTGACGATTATCAGCTTTTAGGTCTTCGAGAAGGAGAAGCAACGGCGCCCAGGAGAAGAATTACTGACTTTTTTTTTTTGTATGGTTTGGTGTTTTTATTTTCCTATTTGGGTTTTTGGTAAAAAAAAATAAATAGGGTGAGGGTCTTTATTTTTCATGCATAAACGACAAAAAATAAAAGTTAACTGTAATTATTGTGTAATGATACGGAGAGAATCGAGGGAGGCGTGGGGCTTTGTCTCCATTGCATGCATGCATGTTTTGTTTTTTTTTTTGTTTTTTTTTTTTTTTTTTTTTGCATGCATGCATGTTCATTTGCTTCTTTCTTCATCCGTGTATCTTTACAATGTAAAACAAACTAAACTCGCGGGACTTTCTCTCTCCTAGGGCGATTGCAAACGCGATCAGCCCCAAACCCTAAAATTCCTTCCTCCGGCCGGCAGTGATTCCTTCCTCCGGCCGGCCACTGCCGGCCGGTCAACCACTGAAAAAGCTCCGCTGACCGGTCACAGCTGGGTGGCTCGTCTTCGTTCATCATCCGCCCCACCATCCCCCTCCATCCTTGGACCACCACCCACATCAGCCACCCCCTCTCATCGTTTAACTCAGGCTCCCCCATCACCCCCACCACTTCAATCTCATTCTCCGGCGGGAAGCCCTGTCTCTCCAGCCTCCTTTACCCTTTCTCCGAGCCGACAGGGAACCTCTTCTTGCCCCCCCTCTTCTTCCCTTCCTAGGGGAACCCTAACGAAGGCGCTTTCCTCTGCAGAGTTGGAATCTCCTCGTGCTACTGCAGCCAACAACCTATCTCCTGTTCCCCTTGGCCAACCAGCGGAGGGTGTCACAGAAGGGGCCGAAAATAGGCAAGGAGCACCAAATGACCAGCCAACCGCGACTACCTGGAGCAAGCGGTTGTTCGCCCCTCCGCGTAGGCTCCAACGCACAGGAACCCCTGGTGTACATGTCTCAGGAGCTCCTCTCATCACTATACCAGAAGAATCTATCAATGACTCTGCCCAGGAATGGAAAGAGTTTCTCATTGGTAAATTCTATGGTCCCCCCCCTGCCATGGGAAGAATCATTGGAGTAGTGAATGCGCTGTGGTCTCGAGGAGGCCCCAGGATTCGAGTCCAGAACGTTGGAAACGGCACGTTTCTATTCAAGGTACCGAATGAAACAGCTAGAGCGCGAATTCTCACCAGGAAGTTTTGGTACATAGGGCAGTGTCCTATGTTCGTCACTGCCTGGAACCCATATCATAATCCCGAGAAGCCCCCAATGAGATCGGTCTCCACTTGGGTAACCTTCCGCAACATTCCTCAGATGTTGTATAATACTGACTGTCTGAGTCGCATTGCCACCAGCATAGGTGAGCCATTATACCTAGACAGGCAGACAGAGGCTAAGGAAAACATTTCGATAGCCAGAATATACATTGAGGTCCCCCTACATAGCCCCCTGCCACAACATATTGTGGTTAATCTCCCGGGCAGTAAAGAGCAAAACGTGGAAGTCTCCTATGACTGGCTTCCACCACGGTGCAACTTATGTTCAGAAGTGGGGCATAATGGCAGGCACTGCCCTACAAACTCCCCGGCGAATAAATCAATGGAAGCGGCGAAAGGTGCAGCAGGAGTCGGTCTGACAGAATTGGGCAAACCCAAGGAACAAATTCACTGCAAAAAGCAGGAAGAGACTGTGGAGAGTGCAGTGGATCCGCCAAAGGAGAAAGCAAACAATACGGGACCTTCTGAACCCCTGCTTCAAGAAGTGATCCCACACCAACCTGGTGCTGTAGTGAATGAAACAGAAACTAGTACAACTGAGGTATCCCTGCCAAAGTTAACTCGGGCATTTAAGCAAGTTCATACTCAGAAAAAAGCTACGGCAGCCGAAAGTTCTTCTAGAGGAACAACACAAGGTCGTGGCCGGAAGGCCACGCGAGCAAGTTAAACTACATAAAGTTATCCCATGTTTTTTGTTTGGAACACGAGAGGCCTTAACGGTCGGAATAAGAGAAGTTTTGTACGTAAGTGGATTTTGGAGCAGAAGCTGCTCGTAGGTGGTCTTTTGGAAACTCATATACAAGAACACAACGCTTCTAGAATTACAGATGCCCTTCCCTTGGATTGGAGAAGTTACTGTAACTACAATGCTGACCAATCAGGACGCATATGGTTAGTCTAGAGCCCGGAAGTAATAGTGACAGTCTATCAGTCATCATCTCAAGCCATTACCTGTGGGATAACATCGGTCAACCAAAATATTTCTTGTGTGGCCACGTTGATATATGCCAGCAACTCCAGTGGGACACGCAAATTCTTGTGGGAGGAGTTAGTGTCGTTGTCGGAATACCAACCTATTGAAGCAATGCCCTGGGTAGTTATGGGTGACTTCAACCAACCATTGGACCCTCATGAACGTTCTGATTATGGAGGAACAAACATGCCATCACAAGGTATGAGTGATCTGTCTTCATGTGTCTCTGCTGCCGGTCTAACTGATATTCCTAGACGGGGGCCATGCTATACTTGGTGTAACAACCAAGTGGAAAATCCCTTGTCTGTGAAGCTTGATAGAGCGATGGCAAACGAAAAGTGGTTTGAGGTCTGCCACAACGTATACGCGGAGTTCTCCGCACCTGGCCCATCGGATCACGCCCTCTGTATTCTGTATTTTCCACAACATGCCCAGAAGGTACGAAGACCGTTCAAATATTTCAATCATCTTGCTCTGCTATCTGATTTCTCCCAGGTTATCACTGAAAATTGGAAGCCTGAAGCGTTGGAGGGAACGTCACAATACAAACTATGTAGAAGCATAAAAGCATTGAAGCAACCTCTAAGAACGCTGAACACAGTTCAGTTGAGCAACCTATCCCAACGAGTTCATGAAGCTCTGAACAAACTAAAACAAGTTCAAGAGCAACTTCTACTCTCACCAACCTCGAACTTAGCTCACCAGGAGCAATTACTGAGGAAAAATTGGTTACTGTTATTGACAGCAGAAGAAAATTTTTACAAGCAGAAATCTCGGGTCCACTGGCTGCGTGTCGGTGATAAGAATACTTCCTATTTCCACAAGCAAGTCAAAGGTCGAGCAGCAAGAAACCGGATTCATTTTCTGCTGAATGACCAGGAAAGAAAAATTGATTCACCAAAGGAAATTCAAGAGCATGTTGTTGAGTACTTTCAGAGGTTGATTGGCCTGAGAGATGGAGAGTGCATACCTCCCTCCATTGCCTGCCTACGACAAGTGTTGAGATGTGATTGTCCTGATCGTCTCCGAGATGCACTCACTTGTATACCTTCGACGGAGGACATTTTAAACACACTCAAGGCTATGCCGGATAACAAAGCTCCAGGACCTGATGGCTATCCGAAAGAGTTTTACCTATCAACCTGGGATAAAGTTGGTAGCACCTTAGTGGCAGCAATCCAAGAATTCTTCAGAACCGACAGATTATTAGGTCAGATCAATGCTACCATAATCACACTCGTGCCTAAGAAGCAGGGCGCAATACGTTTAACCGAGTTCAGACCGATAAGTTGCTGCAATACCGTGTATAAAATCATATCATCGATACTAGCTCGGAGGTTGGAAGGAGTTCTTCAAGGGGTTGTCTCCAAGAATCAAGTTGCATTTGTCAAAGGCAGGCTGATGTTGGAGAATGTTTTGCTGGCTACAGAGCTTGTACGAGGTTATAATCGCAAAGGGTGTCGAAGCAGTGCAATGATTAAGCTAGATATACGGAAGGCTTTTGATACACTCAACTGGGAATTCATCATCAGGCTCCTTACAGCCTTAGGACTGCCGTCTGTCTTCATTCACTGGATCACAACATGCTTAAAAACTACGAAGTTCTCGATTTCCCTGAACGGAGAGTTGGCAGGATACTTTAAGGGCAAACGGGGACTACGCCAAGGTGATCCAATATCACCATATTTGTTTATATTATCTATGGAGGTACTTTCACGTATGCTTGATGCAGGGGCTGCTGAGAACAAAATTAAGCTCCACCCATGATGTAGTAACCCAATGATCACACACCTTTCATTTGCGGACGATGTGATGATTTTCTCCAATGCGGACACTGCCTCCTTATCGGAAATCATGAAGATTCTGGACTGTTTTGGGAAATACTCGGGACTGCATATGAATAAAACTAAATCGGAGATTTATCTTGCTGGGATTTGTGAGCAGGAAAAGGCTGATATTGCTGAATTGTTGGGATTACGACGGGGAAGGATGCCGGTGAGATATCTGGGGGTTCCACTAAGTTCAACAAGACTCACAAGGCACGACTATAGACCGCTGATAGAGAGAATACAAAGCAAGCTGGATAATTGGGCCAATAATAGCCTTTCCTACGCAGGGAAGGTTCTGCTTGTTTCATCGGTTATATATGGGCTTGTAAACTCATGGAGTATGGTCTTTATGTTACCGAAGTGTGTACTAACGCATATTGATGGTCTATGCTCTAAATTTCTGTGGAAAAATTCTGGAACACGCAGAGTTACTCCAAGGATTGCATGGACAACAGTCTGTCTACCGAAGGAAGAAGGGGGAATCGGATTACGGAAACTGGAGGACTACAATAAGGTATTCAGGCTTAAACTCATTTGGTTGTTGTTCACGAAAGGAGGCTCCCTGTGGGTAGCTTGGACTCGTCTGAATATACTCAAGCAGCGGGGATTTTGGAACACAAAGGCAACCACAACATCATCTTGGAATCTCAGGAAATTATTGTCGATGAGGGAAACAGCACGTTCCTTCATCAAAATACAGGTACAGAATGGACAATCAACTCAGTTCTGGCTTGATGACTGGACAACACATGGACCATTGATTGACCATATAGGAGAGCTTGAGCCGAGACTGTTACGGTTGTCGAAGCACGTAAAAGTAGCAGAGGCGGTCAAGAATGGTGGTTGGTCACTTCCGGCGGCTAGAACAGAATCAATCCAACAGCTTCTGTTCTCGTTGACGGATACTGACCCGCCAAGACCGGAACTCGGAGAAGATATGGTACTATGGAAGCAAGACACTAGCGAATTCAAGCACAACTTCTCAACCTCGAAAACTTGGAACCTGATCCGTGCGAACAATCCCACGGTCTCGTGGCATCGTATGGTCTGGTTCCGAGAGGCTGGTTCAAGACACTCTGGCAGGTTATGATGCAACGTTAGCCGACAAAGGACCGCTTGAGGAGATGGGGGCTCCAAACAGATGCTACTTGTATACTATGCGGGCTTGAGGAGGAGACGCATCAACACCTCTTCTTCGACTGCACCTACAACAATGATGTGTGGACATACTATGCCTCATGTTGCTGGGATTCTCCACCGAGTTCACTGCAGGATTGCATTAATTGGACTGCAGCAACGGGCAATGATGACGGGAAGAGCAGGGTGACAATCTCCAGACTCATCCTGCAGGCCACAGTGTACCTTCTTTGGAGTGAACGTAACAACCGAATCTTCCGGAACGACCCTAAAGCGTCACATGTTCTGCAACAACAACTCGACAGCATGATGAAAACCAATCTCCTTTCGGTGAAGGGCAGGACAGGATCAACAAGCAACATGCTTCTGGAACACTGGTACTTTTTGACGGAACGAACTAGAAGGCGATAACGCAACACGACTAAGGAAGTAGGCAACTGACTGCCAATTATTTTGACCACTTGCACATGGGATTTCTTGTATTAGCTTGCTCAATGATTATACGGGGCTGTTTTGTAAGAATTTTGAACTATACGGCTTAATACTAAATCACATTTAACCAAAAAAAAAAACTAAATAAATAAAATTATATTTTTACAAACATGTAGATGGTAACTATAAACTCCGACCGACGAATCGGTGTTATAACATCCCCTTATTAATCTTAATTACACAATCATACGCTAACCTTAATTTCTCCATATTTTATCATCAGAAACTCTCATGAATGTAACCGGGTTTTAGATCTATTTGGATGATTTATATAATAATTTTTTGCTGAATCTTTTTATTCTGAGTAAAGATTAAAGATACAAACAAAATTTTTATTTCATCCTTCGGCAATGCCATATTGCATACGATGTTCATATTAGTGCGAGTTATATCTCTAGCTCTCTAGCCAACCAACCACATGGTTAATTAAACGATCTAATTAATACAAAACAGGTACATATATCCACATGTATGTAAATGTGTTGGAGTCCATTAGCATTTGCAGCGTGAATCGCCTCGAATAAAAATTAAAATGTAGTTATAATGATTCATGGTATATTTATATATAATTAGGATGATTAAATGGATTCAATGTATTATAATTGCTTTTGTAATGACATTAAAAATAGTGAAACAAAAGCTGGAATAGCTCAGTTGGTTAGAGCGTGTGGCTGTTAACCACAAGGTCGGAGGTTCAACCCCTCCTTCTAGCGATCCGAATTCATTTTTATTTTTTTAAAACTAAATTATATATTTTCTTCTGGAAAATATTTATCCGAGGGTAAATCTGTCAATTCGTCCTAAATAATCCAGAGCCATCCATCGTCCTCCTCCGCGCACCACTGCTATTCACTCACTCTACGAAGTTTGCGACCTTTCACTTCGACAGCTCCGGTTTTGTCCGAAGGCATCGAAGCATAAGGAAAAGGTAATCGAAAGATCTTGCCTTTTCCATTTTCTAAATGCGGATAATGATCCTGCGAAGCCTCTTATGCTACTTCTTCAGACAGGAGACACATGGGTTTCCTTGTCGCCGCCAAGATTTGCTGTCCGAGTAACACTTCCAGATTGGTCCATGAAGATGCAAAATCTAATTTTGAACGTGATTATCACCTCCCATATCTCTCTCCACGAAAGGGCTTTCCTTTCTTTGGTCAAATTTTGTAGTTTAGATCGTGTTAAAGATCCTCTGCATGATGTTCCAAAACGTCGCTGCGACCGTAATCTGGAACTTGAGTTCATATGGTTATGATGTCGTTGATTGTATTATGTTGAGAATCTCTTTCACATTTTTTACTTTCGAGATTGACAGATCAAAGGCTTCGAGGAAGGTGTCCTGGCTCTGTTCAGTGTCACGATTCTCTGCACGCTCGTCGTCGTCGTGGTTTCTTGAACTGCGTTGGCGCTTCGTGTATGGTCATGGTCGGTTTCAGAGATGGAATATCAGCATTCCCTGCCATGGCAGAGGATGGAAGTAGCAGGAAGGAGGAAGGAGAGGGACAAGGAATAGTGGGTGCGTTCAAGACGCTATTCGATCCTGACGAGAAGACAAAGTCCGGGAAAGTGCTTCCAAAGGCTTACTTGAAGTCTGCAAGAGAGGTTGTGAAGACACTCCGCGAGTCTCTGAAGGAAGATCCTTCAGACATGGCAAAGTTTAGGAGAACGGCGGACGCTGCAAAGGAATCAATCCGAGATTATCTGAGCAATTGGAGAGGCCAAGAGAGAGTCGCCCTCGAAGTCCGTCTCGTTTGATCCCCTCCTCCTCCCCCCCCCCTTCTCCTTGATATTTTGACAGTGGATGGATGAATGAAAAGATATGGTTTGTTGGTGTATATGATTGCAGGAATCATATGCAGAGCTAGAGAAAGTGATCCGAGCTTTGGCAACGTTTTACTCGAAGGCAGGCCCTTCTGCGCCTCTTCCGGAGGAAGTCAAGTCCGAGATATTGGATGATCTTTCACGAGCTGAAGAGTCCTTGTGAAAACATTCGGATCAGATCTTCTGGAGACGGATTCAGCCTCTGAATTCGGTATCTGGATATTGCAGGGAATGAACAGCTTCAAGTACATGGCAATGTTTGCTCTAGAGTTTATGGTTACATATGATTTGCCTGTCCATTTTCATTTTGCAGCAGAAGAAACTTTGATGTGTTCTATATGTAGCCATTCCCATCACATTCTTTGAATTCATTCCTTGTATTTCGAAAACAATTGAAGAAAAAGTGCATTTCTGTTTTGAAACAATGCCCATCATATTATTATTATTGATCCTCCTGCTTCAAGAGCATAAAGTAAAATGAAATTAAAGTACAACAGAAACACCAGTTCACAAAATTTCAACTTGTACAAATGCAGATATTGTTTATCGGACTTGACCTATGTACAAGCACTGTAAACATCAACAAGTCACTGGAAGAAGTTATTACTGATCAAGAAGCCGAGCATGAATTCTTTGAACATGTCCTCTGGCTCCAAGTTATGTTCCATTGGATGTCATGTCACAAGCTTTACTCTGTAAGCATCATGGAAACTTGAAGGTATATATAGACAGACAGGCCTCTTACATTTCCTTCATCAGATGCTAAAAACAAATCCCCATCCCACCTCAAGTACTGGAAACTGTGGCTTCGGCATTTAAGGCGCCGAGCATAAGGTGATGTTAGAGTTGAAACCAGGGATACTGGCGAAATACCTTCACAAGAATTGCAGATGTTCTGAAAAATCTTTCCTTCCCTCCATCAACTGGAATGGGTTTGTCATTGGAATAAATGGGCAGGGAGTCTGACTCATTTCAGCAAACAGATTATTACTCAGCAATGGTTTCTCTCGGTAAAGGAGCTGGAGCGGCTAACAAGTCATCTTTCTGTGAACCATTCTCTTTAAAAGAAGCAGTCAAAGCTGAATCAGCCAATTTGTCAACCGACGATGAGTTGCCTGTGAGATCTAGGCAACCATTTGCTTCATGGCCATTCTCCATATAAACTTTTGAGGACTGAACAGCTTCTATATCACAGAAACCAAGTTCTGATGCAGTGAACTCTTCATTCCCAGGCCCTTTTCCTGGTGTGTGCTGGCCATCTGATCCAAATTGCTTCTCTGGACCAGATTGCTTCCCAGAAGGAGGTTTCTCATCAGACCCTAACCTACTTGCAGCTTGATCTTCACAAGGGGGACAGACGTTGCTAAGCAAGTTATTCACTTTACAGGAATGAGTACCATCTACAAGTAAAATGGGTAATTGCTCACTTTTGCCATCAGGGATTATGGAGCTCATATTCGATGATCCTCCACAAGAATTGGATAAAGGGATATTATTTCCATCCCCAGAATCAGCACAAGTCTTCTTATCAGCGGAGGCCTGTAGAAGTTCCTGAGCATCTGTTTCTGCATTCACATCCAGACGACCATCTTCACATGATGATCCAGTATCTTCACATGGAAAACCTGGCATGTTCTTATTTTCAGAATTTAATGCTATCTGACAAGCAGAAGAGCTACTGCGAGATTCTCCACCAGGAGAATGATTAGGTAACTCATCCTCTTGCTTGGAAATAGTGCTCATGGTCATTTGAGCCGAAGCAGGTATCTTATCCTCATCACAGGTAACAAGATCCTTGTCTGCAGGACGTCCATCGCATTTGTCATCCACCTTATGGTAGATAGGAACAACTTTAGCAGAAGAGTCACATCCTGATTTCTTTCCAGTCTCCATCTCAGACTTAATAGCACGGTCGTGTACAACTAAATGCTCACCTATGTCTTCCAGTTGTCTGACACCTGTCCAGAAAACAATTCACAACTTAAAAAGGTAACCAAAAACTAGATTGTAAGGGACAAAAAAACCCTGTTGCGGTCAGTTTTAACCTGCAGCAGCGGTGGCAGCATTTCCTTCAACCAGCAGTGATTTCTGTAACATGTCTATTCCAGGGAATACCAATGTGTTCAAGGACCTCATTTCTTTCTTAGATGAATCCTCTAAAGGACTGAAGCCAAAGTTACAAATCCATGCATGCAAGAAGTCTGGAATGGCAGGGATAACCAATTTCTCAACCCTGAGAGAACGCATAGCCTTTAAGAACAAGAAAAAACAAGGTAATAGGTTAAAAAACCAAAGAACAATAATACAAAGCATCGTTCAGGAAGGTAACAACAAACGATGATCATAATAAACCAGCCCACCAATTCAATAGCATCAAAAAGTCGGCGGCACATTCCTTGACGCCTGTATATGTGTCGGGTTCCAATGAATGGCATCTCTGCCAATTGTGTACCATGGAACCTAAAAAGGAATAATAGAAACATACTAAAGTGAGAGATGATCAACACATTCATTTGTGTCCGTAAGCCTATGGAAATGAAAGAATTAGAGCTGAATAGCAGATTTTAGTTAAAGCTGGTTAAATGGTCCGAAATGCTAGCAGCAATCAATTTGAACGAGCTGGAGATAGACCATAGAGCTCACAGTACAGTTGTACTGGGGGAGGGGGTGTAAGCTAAAGGACTTATTTAGGAATCGGATGGGAAAAAACAAGGGCTATTCAATTCAATGTCAGAGTGTTCCCGCTAATGAGTGAACTTCTAACACGAGACTAGATAAGTTTTACAGCATCTCACTCTCATGGGAAATGATATGATGATATGATCTCATTGCCTGTTACTCCAACATTAAACGTCACAAAGTAGACCAATATCATGCACAATACCTGAGAGAAGCAGCTGAAATAATTTCATCACCCCTCTCTAGGATAGCAGTGTAGAAACCAGTATAGTTAATCCGGTTGAAGTTTGACCTGATCAAAGAAGACAGTAGAGAAAGAGAATCAAGTACAGAAGGCAAAGAAAACCAAATTTGTATCCACTATAGTTTCATGCAGATGCAGCAATCCCTAAGAAACTAACTGCACACACACAAACAAGCAACCCACAATTATTTTGGACTCGAAGATTAAACTATTATCAATAGTAAAATATCAAACTATGCATATAAGAGAGTTTTGCTTCAGCATTTGACTGTGTCATGCTTAACGACAAGTCTATGAGACAGGATAGCATCTTTACTACATTCAATTCACTTTTCTAACCATTTATACGTCAGTCCCTAGGCTCCTTAGGCACCTCTAGGATAATTGGCCATCCGGCTAAATGCTTGTATATTCCTTACGCATAACAGTAGATTCAAAATCATTTTTTAGGATGACTATTTGAAGGCACGGAAATGCAGCACTTACCCACAATTATACAGGACATTGCGAATTAGATTTACACCACTCCTTCGGTCAACTATAGGTAAAAAGCATTCATCCATGATAGCAAGTCCAACGGCAAGCTTTGAATTAATTTCAATCCTCTGTGCCAACATATGAGGATTTGAATCTGAATCGGTATCCACCCTATGAATAAGAGACCATGAAAAGCCGGCTTCTAATTCATTTTTTACACCAAGATACTTCTGCAATTGTTCGAACAGCTGCAGAAAACAACGAATTTTTTTAATTTGAATCTGAATCGGTATCCACCCTATGAATAGTAGAAAAACTCAATAGGTGCAAATCATGTGTATAAACCTTCTCCTTGGACATCCAACTATAAATAATCATCATATGTAGTCAATAACGGAATATAACGCTTGGAAAACTGAAGAATCAAAGTTGTTCACTTGACTAGGAGAGTAGCTACCTCTAAGCATTTTGGCCCACAAAAAGGCGTGGAACCAACATATTGAACTTTCTGAGCATCCATCTCATTCATACATTGTTGGTGATCTACAAAAGGAGAAAACCAAAACTCAATCAAAATATTACAATCACTTAAGAGTATTTCTTCATAAAAGGGAAAATTAAAACTGATAAAAGGAAGCATCTTACATTTTTTCTCACACATGTTACAAGAAAGTAATGACAGAACACTCTCATCCTTGTCGTTAGAGTCCACAGCAGCACCACAGAATTTGCAAGTACAATTAGGACAGTGCCAATCACCCGAAGGAAGTGACTACAATAAAAGCATGATATAAATAAAGAAAACACATAAAAAAACATAATGTGCTAACCTAGAAAACCGTAAAAAGATAAAAACATTAAAAGGTTAATAACTTGCGCAAGTAACATATTACAGCAATTTGCTAATCCAGGATATTAATTCTAGATTATCAAATAGATAAGCTTTTTAATAAGTCATACCTGCATACCTAGGCAGCTTTGGTGATATGTTGACGGACAACCATCACAGCAGATCAAATCACCACCATCTCCACAAATACCACAAGTATCATCATTCGGGTCATCACCATCAGTATCCACATGATGGAAACCAAGATTCTCTGCATCTTCTTGCATATTCCATGCATTAATTTGGCATTGAAGAAGAGAAACGCCAGAATCCAGATAAATATTTGGAAAAGGCTGACGTAATTTGCTCCCGGCATGAATCTCAAATCTGGAAAGAAAACAGAGTTTATCTCAAAATGTCATGATAATGCTTTGCTTTGGCTGCTGATAGCTATATAACATAGACATTTTGGATTCTCAAAGGAAATGCACCCAAAAGATGGTCGTTTTTCTTAATGGGTGATTTTGGTTTTGGAGAATCATGATGGATGTAGTTGCATTTCAGATCCTAGCTAAGTTTGAGAGAATTTTCACTTGAGTAAACACTTTTAATTCTCTCTCTTGGTGGTGGCTGTAATTGAAGTGGAATGACGGAAAATTTGGCTATTCGATAAGGGAGGCCAACGCTTCATGGCAAAGAACCAAATGGAGCACTTGTGTTCTGCAACTAGATCCCAACTCGTGGGTTCTCGAGTCAATGAATCCCATCTCTTGTTATCCATCCCTCCAGCATCACCTTTGTACAGCGGCGATTCATGTATTGCACCTTCTGGCTTTGTTGGACAACTCCGGAGTCGATCAACCAGGAAAGCAACGTCCTTTTTCCAGAGTAAGTACTGAACCCATCTATCTCCAAATTCTTTTCATCCCTGGAACTACGCACCAACAAAGTACATCTTCCAAGTTTGTTGCTTTTCCTTCCATTTTGATAATGAGAATCCAACCCAGTGGATGGTCTTTCATCATTATGATAGGAAGAGTTTTCACTTTTTGAGTGTAAACTAACCACATTGATTTTTCCATTTACTCTTTTTTTTGTGGACTTACCTACCGACTTTACCAGAAAACTCTTCTCTTCATGGGTATCACTGTACGTTGTCCTTTCTTCTCCATCAATTTCCTTTTCGCTATCACTACTACTGGTTTCTTTTTGCCATTTCTTCATCATCCCAGTCCTGGTAATATTTTTCGTCTTCCTAGCTAACTTGTTCATGATATCCTCGGACACCGAGGCAAATGCAGCAACATCCTTCCCATATTTGGAATCATTTTCGTCATCATCTAACTGCTTCAGAAGCGCCTCATATGCCTTGATAATTGACCAATATGCTGTTCCTGACGGGTTTATATACACAGCATCCAGGTAATCTCTGTTCCTCCTGGGTCTATAATCTATCGTCCAACCTGCGTCGACAAGCATTCCCTTAATCCGCTCACGTAGGCGTTGTTTCTCTGTTCCAGCACCACGTCGCACTTTTCCTTCTTTGACTGCAATGTGTTTCACTGGTTCACGCAAAGTTTTTTCCATTTTGGAATTTACCCTCTTATTGGATTTACAACTTTCAAATTTCCTCTTTTCCAATTTCAACGACATATCACTGTCTTCTGATGCTGAATCGTCATTCTCATCGCTTGATTTACCAGATGTTGATTTTACTGAGATATTCTTACGCTTTTGTGCCTTAATAGAGGATGCTTGTTTCTCATAAAACCCTGCTTTCTGGTGAATGGTTGAAGCAGCAGGAACGCTAGTTTTACAAGGACCATGCAACTTTGAACGGCATTTGGTCCCCGAATATTTCACTTGCCCCAAGCTTCTCGCTGGCTCATCAATAGCCTTCTTTTTGTTTACCATCACCTTCAAAACACCGTTTCTTCCCTGCACCCTGATCGGTTCAGTAGGATCAAAACCAGAATCAGAATCAGAGGCACTGGTGCATTTCTCCTGAGTACTAAAACTACGCGTGCCATTTATGTATGATTTCTTTCTCCCCTCAAGAACACAGTCACTGCCAGATCCTGATCCCGATCCACTACTACCACCATCAAGACTTCTTGGGGCAACAGAACTTCTTCCACTGACACCAACATTGACATTATCGAAGCATTTTCTCATTACCATTGCACTATCAAAACCATCATATTCATCGAACTCGAAAACATCTAACTTATTCCTCTTACTCACACCCATATCCTCACCGTTCCTTCTAACAGAACCATTATCATCGAACTCTGGCCTATCCCTTTTCCTGCCAAATTCATTACCTTCGGAGCTACCTTTCACCGGACCAGCTACGTTGCGGCAAACTCGGACAGTTTCACGGTCAACCCTTCTACGGCGAGGTGCCAAAAACTCATCACTTGACTCGGAATCACTAGCCACTATTCTGGATCTATTCTTATCTTTCTTGCACTGGGAATTCCTGCGTCTTCCCAAAGAGGAACCGATCCTACCAACCCCATCACTCTTTTTCTTCACAATCAAGCAGCCTGACGAGCTCCTAGTCTTTGCAACTACCCGTGAACTCTCACCCGATCCACCACCCCGTTCCATAGACGACCACTACCACAATCGAAGTGGAACTCAATAAATCCGATCCCGCGCCAAAATCCACGGTGCGATCAATACATAGTACACAAAATTGAAAACCCTTTACCCGATAAATCTCTAAACCCCACTAAATCACCAGATCCGAGGTAAAGGAAAGCAAGACAATCCCGCGTTCTCGGCAAACAGAAGACGGAAACGGGAAAGCATACGGCACTAAATCTCCATCGGGCTCAGCAGAAGTCGCCGGTGAGTCTCAGAGTCCCATGATCGCCGGGGAAGTAACTTTCCGGCGAGCGAATGGAAAGAGACAGACGAGCACGAAGGAACGTTACAAGATTGGGGGAGAGAGTAGATGGCTTTTCCCATTCGAAACGATTTATAGTACCCGATTAAAAATTTACCCTATAGTTTGTAATTATCACTTAGCGCCCCCTCTTAGTGTCTCGTAATCGAATATTCCCCTGTAGTTTGTGATTTTATTATTTACCCCCCACAACTATTGGAACCTAATCGAATCCAATAGAGGTAAGCCTCTGGATTGCTTAGAAGGTTCGATGAGGCAAGATCTCCAATTCGGAGGTGTGGATTTATTCGGAGTGGTCAATCAATGGGCCGAAGAAGAAAGGTCTGGAGGCCCAAATACAGAAATAAAACGGAATAAAGGTTGAAATGTATGCATTAAATAGTAAATACAAGGAAATACATATAATCATGAAAATTCCCATTTTTTTTATAATTTCATACAAAAATTGGAAATGAAATACTAGGAATTCCATATATATATAATCATAGAATGTTATATGACTATAAGTTATGGCCTCTTCCATCTTAATAGATCACATAAAATCTCGATTTGAAATTTGTAAAAAAAAAAAAACGTTTCAAATTAAAATTTGCGAATTACTGTGAATAAAAAAAATACCGTCTTAAATTTTGTATGTAGATTTAATAAATAGAATTTTTAAAAATTTGAAGAGATGGTAAAAGATGAAAAAAAATCACGATTGAAAGCTGAAATTATTTTTGGTTGGGGAGATTTCAAAATTTGAAATTAGGAAATGATGAAGGTGGTGGGATTTGATTTTAGGAGGTTTGGTTGGGTCACGTTCGGTGGTTTGTGTCACTCTTTCACTCTAACAAAATTATAGTTTTCCCCATACTCATAAAGTCAATAATTACAGTGATAATTATTTTATGTCCCACTATTCCACCTGTATTGTTATGAACATATATATATATATATATATATATTAAGAAAACTATAAAATAGTCTAATGAATTCGGATACTCGGGTTATTTAAGATAAGTTTCGGATAATGAAAACAAAAGATTTGGTGAATTTAGATTTGTTTTTAAATCACGTTGGATATGATTATGAAAATAATATCAGATTCATTTATAAGATTACTGATATTTATGGAATTAACATTGAAATTAGTTAGAAATACAACTGTATCCATGCACGTTCCGGTTTCGGAGTTTCAAATATTGCCAATTATTACACATGGATGATATTTATATACAATTAGGTATAGTTTCAAATGTCTATGTACTTGTACGTGTAATGTACAAACACGCCTATGAATACGTACGCCTCCTTTTTATTTTACAAAAAAAAACAAATATTGGGTAGAAAACAAACAAAAGAAACAGGGAATTCAACATGAAATTTGTGAGTCACACATAATAAAACCAAAAAAGTACTTTTATTTTTGCCTATTAATATAACGAGTCAGACTATTTATACGATAGAACTATTCGTTCACGGGCTCGGCTCCTTTTGTTTCCCCCCTTCGCACCCATCTTTTCATATCCCTTCACCCATTTGTCACGACTTTGATTCGAGAAAGCATATATATATATATATATATATATATATTGTTTCACAAATATTTTACTGCAGATGGATCTTGGCATTGTTATATATGGACATGTACGGATATCATATTATATGTGTGTGTGTATAGTTTCTGAAAAATGTTTCGACGTGACTATATATATATATATATCTTAGACTCACGTAAATCATGGACCGGATTTCCGGATCTTGCACGTTCGATGAGATGTTCTTATTCGTGTACATTCGCATGTGCTCGAGAGTTTTGTCATCCCATAATAATTCCGAACATCAAACAATTTGATACAATCGTACGTAACAAAAAAACGTGAAACATGTATATATATATACATATGCATGGATGGGTATAATAAATTTAATTGCATGTAAGATTCATATTTTGATACTATATATATATGGAGACATACAACATATATGATCGATAAATTACGTGATGAACCAAACACACATTTAAATTGGTTTGAACTATATATATATATATATATATATATATATATGTATGTATGATGGATATAAAACTTGCAATGGATATAAAAAAATGATCAAACAACGTGAAGAGAAAAGGCCATGTTCGTGAATCATACCCGAACCCTAGACTAAGTAGACTTACTAATGTGATCATTATGTATGTATGTATGTATGTATGTATGTATGTATGTATGTATGTATGTATGTATGTATGTATGTATGTATATGCCTTGCCATACATGATACATGTAAGAATATTTTCCAAAAAACAATCAGATAATATTCATAGTGTATATTTCATCAAAAAAAATATTCATAGTATATTATAGTATTTGATTGATTATTCCCAATATTATCGGAGAATGTTGAATAAACGTGACATATGGAGAATATAAATATCATTGTGCTAAAAAAAGGGGAAATTAAGCGGAAAGCACATGAACATTAAGGCTTAATAAGAATTTGATACAATCGTACGTAACAAAAAAACGTGAAACATGTATATATACATATATACACATGCATGGATGGGTATAATAAATTTAATTGCATGTAAGATTCATATTTTGATACTATATATATGGAGACAGACAACATATATGATCGATAAATTACGTGATAAACCAAATACACATTTAAACTGATTTGAACTATATATATATATATGTATATGTATATGTATATGTATGTATGATGGATATGAAACTTGCAATGGATATAAAAAAAAATGATCAAACAACGTGAAGATAAAAGGCCGTGTTCGTGAATCATACCCGAACCCTATAGTAAGTAGACTTACTAATGTGATCATTGTGTATGTATGTATGTATGTATGTATGTATGTATATGCCTAGCCATACATGATACATATAAGAATATTTTCCAAAAGCAATCCGATTAATATTCATAGTATATATTTCATCAAAAAAAATATACATAGTATATTATAGTATATGATTATTGATTATTCCCAATATTATCGGAGAATGTTGAATAAACGTGACATATGGAGAATACAAATATCGTGTGCTAACAAAAACGGGAAATTAAGCGAAAGCACATGAACATTAAGGCCTAATAACAATTTTATAATTTGGTTAAATTAAAAATAAAACTGGACGAAATGATGAATAAGAGGAAACTATAGTTAAAAAAAAATGATGTCCAGATTATCCGCTGTCAACCGCAGCCTTTTTCCACTGGTCGCTTCAACTCCCATAATGGATCCTCTGTAATCTCTATCATCACCACACAAAAATCTTTTATTTTATACATTTAAATGCTATCCCCAAATACTATAATATTTCGATGTTTACTCATAATATATATATATATATATGTGTGTGTGTGTGTATAGAATGAAAATATTTATATATATCGGACGTCGTTTTTAAATTCTTATTTAGCAGTATAAATTTTTTTTTTCCGGAAATTTGCACTTTGAATAACTTTAAAGGCATTAATTTTGCGGTGCAAAAGAAGGAAACCGTTGCTTTATTGGTCGGACAATTGATTTTTTTTAAATTTAAAATTAACTTCAATTATTAGTTGCATGTAAGTATACATGTAAGGCTAAACAATACATTGTTATAAAAAAAGCAAGTTTTCGATTCAGAATTTGGATTTATTTTCTTAATCTAAAGGCCAAATTAGTTTTCTATCATTTTTTTCCCAATGAATTTCAGATTTTTAAAACTATTTTTTTATAAAAAAAATAGTAGGACATACGCAATGATAAATTAGTCAAAGGAAGGTTATTGGTGAAAAAATATTTAAATTTCGAATATATAATGATTTGGATTAAAGTCAAAGAATGATGCAAATAATATGCTTTTGTCTTAAATAGAAATTCAACGAGTAAGTAAAGTTGATTCTCTCTAACGGGCAAACTATGCCTGCTTATTAAAACTGCCCACATTTTCCGTCACCCATTCGTCAACGCCGTTAAAATCCCTTTTTTTTCAGTTGATTTTAAATTTTGTGATTTTTTTTTGCTTAAAAATAACAATAATATGAATTTAAAGATTATGTGAGATAACTAAATGTACTTAAGCCACAAATGGAAAAAAAATGGAAAGTGGTTATTGTATATCAAATAATTATGGATTTATACCAACAATAATAATTATGGATTAATACAATTAAATTATAATTTAAAGGTGATGACGCATCATGAATTTAAAGCAACAACAAAGGCCAATTTTTTTAACGGTACACTACTTGCCTAATATGCTTTATGGGTTAACGGCGTTAGCCGCCGTTATCTTCCTCTTTAAAAATACATATATAGTCCCCGTGTAGGAATCTCGTTTCTCACCATTCACTCGCTTGCATATTTCAAAATCTCTCTCTCTCTCTCTCTCTCTCTCTCTCTCTCGCTTAGAGAACAAGCTTGGGATCTTTGTTCCTGCGAGTTAATTAATAATCTCTTCCGA